GAGCCTCCCGGACCAAGCTCTCAAGCATGTTATCATGAAGATGCAGCTCCAGAACCACTTGAACTCCCTCTCTCCCTCCACCGCCTCGCCGTCTCCCCACTCCGAGCCCGACCTCTCCTCCGCCTTCAATTCCCTTACCCTTGACCCGCCTGCACCCGATTCCACCTCCCTCCTCTCCGACAATCTCCTCCTCCGCATCTTCTCCAAGCTCCCCATTTCCCACTACCTCCCCAACTCCCTCGTCTGCAAGCGGTGGCTGTACCTTCACGGCCGGCTGGTGAATTCCGTGAAGCTTTTCGATTGGGGGTTTTTGGACTCGGGTCGGGTTTTCGCCCGGTTCCCGAATCTGGACGATGTCGATATTGTTCATGCCTGCATTCGGTCCCCAAGGAATTCGGGGATTCTGGTGACCAGGAAGGCTTTGACTGTTCATATCGACTCGCTTTTTAGCCCCAATGGATTCATTGAGGAGAGCGATGTGTTGAAGAACAGTGTTGTGGACCATGGGCTGAGATTGATCGCTCAATCGTACCCGAATTTGCGGCGAATTGCGGTTATCGGCGCCAGTGAAAATGGGTTGGTGAGGATTGCTGAGGAGTGCCAGATATTGCAGGAATTGGAGCTGCATTGTTGTGGGGACTTGGCGTTGAAGGGAATTAGTGGGTGTAGGAACTTGCAGATTGTGAAACTGATTGGTTCTGTTGATGGGTTTTACAGGGCTGTGATTTCAGATATCGGGTTGACGATTTTAGCTCAGGGGTGTAGGAGGTTAGTGAAGCTTGAGCTCTGTGGATGTGAAGGGAGCTATGATGGGATTAAGGCAATCGGGCAGTGCTGCCAAATGCTTGAGGAATTGACTCTCAGTGATCATAGGATGGATGGTGGCTGGTTGGCTGCTCTGCCCTTTTGTGGGAATTTGAAGACTTTGATGCTTCAGTCTTGCAAGAGCATTGACTCAAGCCCTGGCCCCGATGAGCATTTGGGGTCTTGTCCCACCATCGAGGAGTTGCTTTTGCGGCGGTGTCAGGTGCGGGATCAGCATGCTGTGAGATCTTTGTTCATGGTTTGTGAGGCTGTTAGGGATATTGTTTTGCAGGATTGTTGGGGATTGGTGGATGAAGTATTCGCATTCGCTAGCATTTGTAGGTACGAGATTTTTTTTCTTCCCATTTGTGTTTAGCTCTATTTGTTTCCTGAGATATGTTGAAGAAACTTAAGATTAGATTTTGTGTTATTTCTGACTTTACATTGTTGTGCAAATTGGTTATTTAGAAAAGAAAAATACTTTTACGTACTATAAATGCTATCTCCATGGAAGATTATTAGAGGAGTATGCCATAGGAGATGGTTGTATTGTTTGTCCATATATTATCTGTTTTGTACTAAATGGAAGATGTATAGTCGTAAAGTATGCAAATAGTTAAACATGGCTTATTGCTTTTAGATCTGTGGTTCTTCTGTAGCGAGCGTACCTGACTAATTAATCTTTCAGCAACAAAACCTTTTTTAGGCATTGCGTTAATGGAAATACCAATCATAAGATGTGTCGTGTTAGAATTTCTGTCATTTAGGAAAGAGATTCCGGAATAGTTGGAGGGTCGTCACTACGAGACTCCACCGATGGTGATAGGGTAGGGCAGTTTTCTTCTTCAAAAACTTTTGAAAGACACACAGTTCCTAACTAATGGCATGTATTTATTGTAATCACTCCCATGGAAAGATCAGAAATAAACTTTGAGAATGCTCTGCCACTAAGGCTAGAACTGCCTTGGAATGGCCCATCTAAATTCTTTGGGAGTCCCACCTTTGTCTTGTTTACTAAATTGCACGATTTGCAGAATGCAGTCATCAAAGCTTTATTAAACAATAATTAAGCAAATCAAAGCTTATACCATATTTGTTTGGCCTCCATCTCCTATGGTGTTTGATCTAGGAACTTGAGCCTTATAAAATTCCAAATATTTGAATGTCTCAAATAGCTTCAATAATTCCGTTATGAGACTTGTTTTCATGATGTGGATTGATACCTTTATAATTACCTTCGTATAATCTTAGTTGGATGTTGTGCAAGGGTTTGATGAGTTGTTCTCAATTGTCAACTCTAAAGTTTTAAAGTTTAGTGGATTGTTACCCAATTAAGTCTAAAGTTTCAAATTTTAAATAACATTTGCCTAGTTTTTGTTGGGGACCTTAGAAATGGGCGGTTCAGATCTTCTTATCACAATGAGGGTTAGGCGTGCACACTATGATCCCTCTTAATAGGTTTTCTACGCATTATGATTTCCATAAAGAGACATAGGATACTTTGGACAAAACAAAAAAATGAACTCAAATAAGTTTCAGCAAGTTGGAACTTGAATACAGACACAATAAGGCTGTGGTGTCCACTATTCTTGGAAGTGCATTTTCCAATTGGTCAGATATGCATTCTGTGGAAAATTGAGAGGTTCCTCCAAATTATTGGAACACCATTTTTTTTTAATTTATGGTGCATGAGGAGGAAAGTTCTTGAGTTCAGATGGCATAAAACTGCATTTATATCCCAGAATAGTTGGTAAAAGGTGATGTTCCAGAGGTTTTCACCATTTGGTATTGTCAGAAAAAGGAAAATATTTAGAGTCGCTTGAAGATTGTCTGTGGATTCATTTTGCTAGCAAGAATAAGGCGGTAACAATTTGGAAAAGTCAGTTTTCATATATGCCCATTAAAAAAACATTTCCTCTCAAGCGATGTTGAACTTTGTAGTTTTTGGGATGGTTAGAAAAAGTAGTTGTCTTGGTATATTGCCTTCTTACATGTCTTCATGAACAATATGACTTTACTGCAGAGTATTGATATGAACTGAAATCTGTTGGCTGCATGCAGAGATCAGTTTGTATTTTTTTTTTTATTCTATGAATTTTGTGCTTTTTACCTTCATCTTTTGCCTTTTGAAGATTTATTTTGCCATAAATATTTTGATTGAACTTCTCCCCATTTGTATGTACGCGACCATCATTGTTATCTTTATAATCTAGCTTGAGATCGATGTTAAGCAAGACCTATTAATCAATGTCAAGTTTGATGGTTGTTAATCCTTTTACCCTTTCCATCATGCAGGAGGGTGAAGCTGGTTGCTCTAGAAGGATGCTCACTGCTGACAACAGGAGGTCTGGAGTCAGTACTCCTTTGCTGGAAAGAGCTTCAAAGGCTTCGAGTAGTATCATGTAACAATGTAACGGACAGTGAAATTACTCCTGCCTTAGCAACCTTATTTTCTGTTCTTAAAGAGTTGACATGGCGACCGAATTCCAAAGCTCTCTTATCAGCAAGTCTTGCAGAGGCTGGAGTGGGAATGAAAGGTGGTAGGTTTTTCAAGAGATTAAAGCCTTGACTCCACTGCTTGATGACGGGGAATCTTGACCTGTTCAGTGAGCATCCTCATATTGGGCAGCTGTTCAGTGTTTGGATCAACACAGAAAATAGATAGATTGAAATGTTATTTAGATGTTCAGCATTGTGATGATCGAGGGGTCATTTGCTTCCTTGCCCACAGAAACCATACCGAGTGCAGGTCAGTGTCAAGTTGTCGGTGTTATTTAAGACTAGTCCTGTTTCTCTAATATTCAGCAAGGTTAGACGTGCTAGTTTGGTCATTTTAAATAGCTGTACTGACTTGCTAGGAGTTAAGAGTAAGCAAACACATGGGTAGAGTTTATCAACTCTTTCGACATCGTTGATATGTAACAATGTAACATTTACTAGGAATGAACTTCTTTTACCTCAAAGTGTAGTGGCATTATGCGTGTTCATTGTGTTCTCATGCAACTGTTATGGGGTTATTTTTCGTCATCTTGGTGTTAATGACTCATCTCATTAGGCGTTCAAGTTTCTTCAACGTTGTCAGTAACGTGGTCGATATATTTCGATAAAGTTTGAGAGTATACAAGATTAGTTGATCATGTACCTTTATTATCAAGGAAAGTTCATGAATCGCAACAGTACCTGTAATTTGTTGTCGATGCATATTTTCATGGAAAATTTTTAACTTGAATCAGGGAAACCTTACCCTTAGCTTTGAACTTAGAACCTTGAACTTTTGAATGGAAAATTTTCTCGTACTAAGTGATGACCGGGAGATTATTGCTTTGAACTAACAGAGCTATAAGACCGTTGTGGAATGGCAATTAATCTCGTAATACGTGGATTAGAATGATGACCTAGAGACCACGAAAAGTAAAAAGGTTTGTTTGGCAAGTGTTTTTAAATGACTAAAAGTGATTTTTAGAGAAAATGTTTTTGGTTTTCAAAAGCACTTGAAGAGCTTTCTGCTAAAAGAACCAGTTATTTGCTTCTTACTTGAAAATAGTATGCGTATAATGTTTGGTTTAATTACCTTTTAATCTTCTTTTCCCTTTCTCTCATTTTGGCACTTCCAATTTAGAGCAAATTATACAAAATTATCTCAACTATGAGTCGAATCACAATCTCATACCTCATGTTTTAAAAATTATAATGTCATACCTCATTTTACGAATTTATTGCAATGTCAGACCTTTTTCTGTCAATTTCCTTGTTAAATGCTAACTTAGCTTGAGACGGGATCCACTCCCAAACCCAACTAGATTAGAAAATTAATTAAATATTAAAAAATAAAAATAAAAACAAATATTTTTTATTAAAAATGGGACCCATCCCTTACAAACCCATTTTCCCTCTTCTTTCCCAGTTGCACCGTTTCTAACCCAACCCGCCTTCAATTTATATACAAATATACCCATGGTGGGTCTAGTTCACAAATTTCACAACCGTTGCATTTCAAAAAAAAAAAAAAAAAAAAAAAAAAAAAAAAAAATTAAATACAGATATCACTTTATATTTATTATATCATATACTAATACTATAGTAAGAAATCTTGCTTTATCAGCTGTTTTGGGTTACTATTTACCTATAGTGTCCGGATGGATTTGCCCCTTATTTTCTTCACAATTTGTAACCTTCTTTTAGATCGTGTAGCCTGTCCTCCTCGCGGATTCCTTCTTCCAAACCATGATTTTCCCTCGCCCTTTTCGAGATCCGACAAAAAGAGGAATTGAAAGAGCTTGCGACGATCATGGCTATATCGCTGCAACAAAGGTTGTGGTTTTATTTATTTGTCAGTTCATAGGTTTTTAATTGTATGGTTACCCATTTGAAATTTATGTAATTTAAGGTGAAAAAGTTTGTATTTTTCTCTAAATATGTTTTGGAATTTTCTAGATCTATTGTGGACTTGACTATGAATTTGAATGTGGGCACTGGGCATGCGCTATTGCAGTCCGATTATGGTATTTAGAAGAACCCAATTGCTTTTTTTTTTTTCGATTTGCATCGATCAGTTAATTTGTTGAGTTATTTCATGATTTTGTAAATTTTAAAGTTTTTGAATTTTGAATCCTGGCAATGTACATTTCCTTGAAGAATATATGTTTATGTATTTGCTTAACTGTTGAAAATTTGAATTCGTTCTGCTTGATCACAAGTAGTTGAATTACTTGAATATATTCAGGATTTTGGGGCTCTCAATTCTCTGATATATGAGAACTGGGAGGTTGATAGGTAGGTTCCTTCCATTTACATCATTTAAAAATAAAAATCAAAAATAAAAAAAAACCAAAACCGAAACGGAAAAAACCGAAACCGAAAAAAACCGAACCGAAAAAATACCGAAAAAAAAAATGAACCGAACCGAACCGAAATTTCGGTTTGGTTTCGGTTTTGGCAAAAAACCGAACCGTTTTGAGCCGAACCCACCCCTAGCTGTAAACACTAGAACAGCCTTCTGGCAAATCAGTCTTTAATTGTCTTCCACATAATTGATTTTCTATAATCACAGATCTTATTTCTTTGATTTTGCATGAAATGGACAATAGCCATAATTCATAGTCTCAGTGGTTTGGAAAACATATGGTAAACCAATGGATAATATGTTTACCTGATGATCTATTTGTGTGTATAAGGTAATTTTTTTGGAAATATGGTTATCTTTTCTGGTCTAGAAGGGGATTTACAATGCAATGTCAAAAAGAGTTTTGAGTTTTAGTTTACTGGCAATGTAATGGAATATGTGTTATATTTATATGAGTTAGATAGTTATTACATCCTATTAGCTATGTTCCTTTTTAGAAGCTTTGATCAGAGCATTGCTTTGTGACAATTGTGATTGATCTTGATTGGGATCATTTTGGCATGGGTTGAGAGGTAGCTTTTGTGTCTTGAAAATCTTGAAACAATGTATCCTATGATTTTTTTAAACAAAGCTTTTGCCTACACATAATTTCGTTTGGTTTTAAAAATAGGAATGCCAATTATGCTACTGATCAGTCTTTAGATTTATGTAATGGATAGATTTAGTTGTTACTCAATTGTTCAGTAGGATTATTGATAACACCTCTTCTGCAAAAATTATTAAAACTTACATGCATTTTAACTTAAATTATGTTTTTCTTACAAACATACTTGATCAAGCATGAACTATTTGTCGTGATAGGAAGGTAGGTAGGTACAAAGTGATCAAATTGCTGAAAATGGTCCTCTCCAACTGATAGAAAACCAGATTCCTTTCCACCAATAAAACACGAAGTAACCATGCTTTGTGCTTGTTTTTTATACAATATAAATCTGTTGATGTCAAAATTCATTGCAAGTATTTAATAATTAATTTTGGGAACTGTTATAATCATTCTAAAAATCTCATTTTACACTCCTCACGAGTGTACTTTTCTTCCTAATTATAGAAAGCTTGGAGTGCCAAATGATATTTTTAGAGTGTCAATAACAATTCCTTTAATGTTTTGAGAAATAACTTTCAATTTTTGGTTTTATTTTTGCTGATTTTCGAAGTGGTTGTGGTAACCGGTTCTTTTGAACCAGTTTAATTGGTTTTAGTGATTGCATGTGGAGTGGGGTTTTGAATTTGTTTAGCCTATCTCAAAAGGTGAGGATTATATTTTCCTTCATTTTCTTAAGTAACCAAACAGAAAATTAGCTCTCTCCTTTGTTTGGTTTAACTTTACCAATAGAAACTTTAAAAGTTTCTTAAGTTACTTCAACTATTAAGTTTGAAATAATTGAATACTTGAAAATTGGGTTTCGTTTGATTGTTTGTGCTAATTGGGTTAATCTTTTGTTTTGTAGCAACAAGGAGAAATGAGTTAGCCGGAGGACTCTAAAAGATGATTGCTGTTGTTGCTACTATAGATATGCCGACGGATCCTTTGAAGGGAAAGTTAGGCTTGGGTTGAGAAGCGGAATAATCCTCTGCATTGCTATCAATAAAGTTCAAACTGGAGCTGTGCCCAAGGTGACCCTGATCCTTTGATCCTTTTCCAAATTCTCACATTTGAGGTTGTTATTGAATGGTATGCATATGGAATGGGAGAAGCTTTGAAACAAGAATACGCGTACAAAAATAATATTTTATATTAATAATTTTGGGGTTACAATCTTGTTGTAATTTGGTCCTCTGATTCTATCTTCGTAAGGTGTGGGTTTGTGGATGAGTTGTTGATCCAAAGTGCCATTGGGGCTTCATCTAGGGATGAACAGCTGATGAATGGATCTTCAAGGGCTGTTGGGGCTTAATCTTGAAGAACAGTTGTTTGTTGATCCAAGGGCCGTCGAGGCTTGATCGTAAGATGAATAGGTGATGAACGATGAACACTTTCTTCAAGGGCCGTCAGGGCTTGATCTCGAAGGTTAAGGGAAGTTTCTTCGAGGGCTGTCAGGGCTTGATCTTGAAGGAGGAGGATTTTGACGAAGAACGAAGAGGTTTTTACTGATCCTTCGTGATTTGCTTGAGAGCTTTAGAGTTTCAAAGCTTCAAGGTTTTGGTGCAATGTCAATTCCTCCCTTTTCTCTTGATGGAGAATCCTATTTATAGGCTTTGAGAGTGAATCACTACCATCCATTTTTTTTGATGAAGTGAGTGGATGTTGTAGGTGAAATAAGTGGAGTTAGTAGGTGAAGTAAATGTGTAATGTAGGGGAAATGAATGGAGTTTGTAGGTGAAATGAGTGTGTGGTGTAGGTGAAATAAATAAAGGTTGTAATTTTAATGCATTGGTCAACATTTGTTTCATTGAAATTTCGATGTCTACAAGTGCCCCCACTTCAAGGTGTGTTGTATACATGTGCTTGTCATGTGTAGAAGATGCGTCTTGAAGTCCCTTAATGTAGATGTCGATCTAAGGGCCATCAAGGCTTGATCTTGAATTAGGCTGGAAATTTCTTCAAGGGCCGTTGGAGCTTGATCTTGAATTCGACTAGAAGATTTTTTAGTTTCCTCCAATCGTTGATTTTCCATAAGCTTAATCTTGAACTGGGTTGGAGGGTTTTCTGGTCTCCTCCGAAGGTCTGAACTTACTCCTTGTATCTGGAGCTGAATTTGATTCAAGGGTAGAGAACACTTGATTTTGAATCGGACTTGTGATTTCTTCAAAGGCCATTGAGGCTTGATCTTGAATGAAAATAGGACCACAAATGGTTTCAGGATTTGGACACATGGCAGGCAAGCATGAGGTGGAAGTGATGGCCTGTTTCTTTGTTCAATCTTTCCAATTCATATTGAAGAGGGATGGGGATGAATCAGCACGTGCAGTTGTTGCGTTTGCTGACGATCCACAAGATTGATGTTTCATTATCACTCGTCTTATTTGTTCTCTAGGCAGATGTGGTATCTTCTCTGGAAGTGTATCAACTGTTAAAGACGACTACTCGAGAGCAACGCTAGGTAAGCAATCAAGGAATAGGTTCCAGGCAGTCGGTTCCAGGTCTGAAGAATGATTCCGAGTGCCGACTGATTGCTCTCTTTCTCCTTGCCCTGCAGGTAAGAATAAGGACAAAGGAAAGGGCATGGAGAAAGCATGATATGAGATACTCTTGCTTTCGACCTTGATGATATAAGATACTTTTGCTTTTGAAGAAGTATTGGCGATTTGATGACGTCGCGCGGTGAGGCTTTGTTCTTTGGCGATGGTGCCAGTGGAAGGTTGTTGAGGCTTCTCGAGCTCTTTGATTAGAACAACGATGTCGAGCTTGGATTTGACTTAAACTCCTCAATCTGGATTATGCGGTTCTGCAGGGGAGGGCGTTATGTTACAGTGATTTGTTCCAGCTCCTTGTACTGCATTCTTCTCTGCTTGTTTCTTTTTGCATAGCCGAGGTGTTGCGCAACCCTTTGCCTTTAAATGGTCTTTCAGAGCATCACTTCTCTACGATTCATCCATGCTTGGCAGCTTTAGTTTAAAGAGCCGACATCAAGTCAATTGTCTTGAAGTATTCGCTGAATGAATTCGAGACTCACCAATAGTTAAAGATGAGCACTCGAGAGCAATGCTAGGTAAGCAACCAGACAAAGGTTCTGGGCAATCAGTTCCAGATCAGAAGTTTGATTTCGGGTTCTGACTGATTGCTTTCTTTCTCTTTGTCTTGCAGGCAAGAGCAAGGGCAAAGATAAAGACAGGGAAAAAGCATGATATGAGATACCTTTGCTTTCGCCCCTGATGATATGAGATACTTTTGCTTTCAAAGAAGCAGCAAATGAATCAGCACATATATTTGTTGCGCTTGTCTCCACATGCTTCGATCTACCATTTCCTCCTGCCTCATCCATTCTCCAGGCATCTGGTATCTTTTTGGGGGGTACATCAACAATTGAAGATGAGTACTGGAGAGCAGTGCTGGGTAAGCAAGCAGGGAAAGGGTTCCAGGCAGTCGGTTACAGACGGGAAACTTGATTCCAAGTGCTGATTGATCGCTCAAGAGTAAAGGAAAGGACGTGGAAAAGGCATGCTATGAGATACTCTTGCTCTCGACCCTAATGATATGAGATACGTTTGCTTTTGAAGACTTGGTTGAAAAGGTGTTTTCAGGGGAGAAGAAAACTAAGCATATTAAGAGGTTTGGTTGCAGCTGCATTCTTGGCAAGGAAGGAGAGTCATGCGTTTTGGATGTATGCCTTGCCATGGAGGATGAATGTTGACATATATAGGGATTTTAATAGCAGGTAATGGTGCGGGTACGGCTTTGTCACCCACGCTTGTCGGCAAAAGTGTGGTAGTTAGAATAGTGAACTCCACACGTTTTCAACTTTGTCAGAGATCTTTGACAAAGTTGCACGCGTTATTTGAAAAGCTGAGATTGCGTCTGAAAAGTGTTGACGAACATTACGCAGGAAAATCTGGCTTTTAAAATTCGAAGAGTTGTGTCTCTTCGAATTTTTTTTTTGAATTGGTGGCTATGTTGCCTCTCATTTTATAGAGGTATTGATCACATCCAACATGCACACTTTGAAGATTGCCTACTCTTGAAAATCGTCTCCAGTGTATTTTTTTTCCTGAGATTTTACTCTATCCAACCCT